AAAAATAATAATAAAGATGATGATGATGATGATAACAATAATAACAACAACAGCAACTACAACAACAATAATAATAATAACAATAACAGCTATGACACATTTGGTGCCAAAACGGCTGTTCCGGTTCACGCACCCGAGTCCCCGGCTGCGCCCACGGGCTCGGGGCCGCTGGCCTGTGCCCGTCGGTGCCCGCGTCTCCGTGGCTCCGCCCCCGTCACCCGAGCCTCGGCGGGCACCCGAGGCCGTAATGGAGCCGGCAGCCAGCGAAGGGCCTCACCTGGACTGAGTGTTCACTTCCGCTTCGCCAGGAACACTTCCCCGTTGGCTCAGTCCCGTCACGGTGACGCTAGAGGCTATAGTCCTCACTCGGGTCTCCCATATTCTTGTTTATTTATTAGCATACTTTCTTTGGCAAGAAGGGAGAGGCTGCGATGGAGACCAACTTCTTGGTTCTGGTGACCGCGCTCACGTCGCTGGTTCTGGCTCTCGCAGGTAGGCACTCGCAAATCCATTGTCTTTTCGGGATCTGTTGATTTTCGCATTTCTCTCTCTACTTATTTTCTCTCAGCATATTGTGCGATTAAAACTATGATTTTAACACCTGATTTCGGAAGTAAGTAGTTTAACGAAGGCATGGAAAGTGGCACTATGTGATCTGTTAACAAAGCCTCGTTTTGAATTTACACAATATTTCACTTGTAATATGTGAAATGCTGACAGGTTTCATGACAGTTTATTAACATTACACGTCCTAGTGCTTCCACGTACAACAAACAGTGATAAACAATATAGGCTACATATACTAATACACATATATAAACTTCAAGTAAACACCTCAGCTCTATACGTTGGCTTCCTACAAGACAGTGAGCGAGCGAAGCATTCAAAGCAGAGTTTATCCCATAGAAAGAAACGTACGCCAATGGAACGACACTACCCAAGTAACTGAGTGGTACAGTATGAGATTGTATGAACGTGGCTTAGTATTAGGCTTGTTGGTTATTATCAAGTATTAACATTGCTGGCAAATACCTAGACTGGAGAAAATATACGAGTCCTAATCAACTCAAAAGAGGAACCACGCCACCAACAGGGCAGCAGAGTGATTCACAGATATCTTAGAAGGCCTTTTCAGTATGCTTCTTGGAACAAAAGGAGTACTCATACTCGAAATCGACTTTGCTGGCAAGAAAGACATCAAGAATTGCGAAGAACCAAACGTTATTTATGACATGATGAGTAGTGAAAAAAAAAGTTCTATGGTAACTTTTAATAAGATTCAGCTCAATCCTCCATTATATATGGACCTACGGGGCGTATATATATATATATATATATATATATATATATATATATATTGATATGTATATATTTATATGTTACAGGCAATATGTGAAACCAGTCATTACACGTAATGACTAACATTGTTAGGCATTACGTGTAATGGCTGTGACTACCAGTCATTTCACGTAATGACTCAAATACCCAGTCATTCCGTGTAATGACTAAAGAATGGGACCAGTTATTTCATGAAATGAATGAACTAATAACGCAAAGATATCAACTACTATTCACACTTTATTTCAACTCATAAAGACGTTAATACACGCATGCGCAAGTATTCACACTTTGTAATCTGTTTGTGCAAGTTATGGCGTAATTGAAACTATTGTTCCCACATTCCTTCAGGTCATGAAATACAATTGGGTACTGTACAAGTTGTCACAATTTTCAGTTATATATCCCTGAATTGAAGTATTGTCAAAGAGATCCAAGTTTAGACTTTATTAGCACAAGTCATGCTGGCGTGGCACCTACTGTTACATTTAACTTTGTTTTTAAAGTACTTGCATCTGTTTGTTCGGCACTTTTTGGATCCTGCGCAGTTGCATTTGACAAAACCCTGTCCATCACAGTTCGATTCAAAGGTAACGGCTTCTCGCAGAGAAACCACCCTGTCGCGATTGAAGGAGTCCTCTCCCAGAAGGCGCTAAGGGCATGTCAAACTGGTTGCGTGACAGCTTGGCCTTCAGAACTCCTGCCTTGACTTTAATGGTGAACATGTCATTTTGGTAACGTTCCAAGACGACACCGATAATGTTCAGAGGATCACCTCGACCCCTATCTATCAGTGGAATAGGGACAGCATCATTATTAAGTGGTTTGCTTGCTGCAAGGTCAATTCGACTCCGTTTAACCATGCTTTGGGCAGGTTGACTCGTACAGGCACCTTTTCTCTGGGCAATGATATTATTCTCTCTGCGGCTCAAATAGTTTTCTTCTGGCACTCTTCACAGTACGATTTAAAAAATTCAAGAGCTTCCCGTGTGATGTTAGCGTATTTCTTTGCTGTTTCTTTGATCATGCGATCCCGCCCGCCATGACCTGTAGCATGCTCTCTTGATTACGTCGTAAGTATCCTCAATGGCGACGTTGTACAGGACCGGTTCATCGTCGTTCTTTCGTTTCTTTATGAGTTTTTCTATATCACCACAGAGAA